TGGAAAGTACGACCGTTCTGCTTTTGGAAAAGGTATGCGCCAAGTCTTTCCACTGCGGGCACCACTCCTGCTGCTCATAGTTTTCTGTGTATGAGGTGTCCGAAGAGACCGCGAACTTTCGGTCAAGGCATGGGCTTGAAGTTTTTCGAAGGTCAGGGCGTTTGTATCAGGAAGGCCATTGACCCTGTCATGTTCCTCGTCGTCCTCGGAATCCTGGTCGATCATCATCTCCGTAGAAACCGGAGGGCCACTCTCAGGCTCACGGGGAAGAGATGGATTCCTCGAAAAAGCAACGACGCATGCTAGCAGCCCGAGAACAGCTCCAGGACCTCCTCCCCATGACCAAGAAGCCCACTGCTCAATCGTTCGGAATAATTGGCTGAGACTGATTGATCTTGGCGCATCTAGAACATTGCAGACTTGCAGTCAAAAGCGAGGTGAAAAGTCAGATCCAAATGATTGATTGATCAGGTATCGAGCCAGCTTAGAGAAAGACGACTATCGTTATGGATTTTCACATGCTACTTACCTACGAAGATGTTGAGAACGATGTAGGACGTCGCGATCAGCGTACAGAAAACAGTCTGCCAAGTGTAGCGCACGCAATATTCAATCATGCGTTTCCGATGTTTTCTAGCTAACTCGTCGCCCTTACGACCTCCATCCCATCGGTCCAAAGCCGCAACCTTTTGTCTCAGGTTTCCTTCGTTTCCTGCAAGCCACATTTGTCTACCAGGGTTACTGGGTCTTCTTTCGAACGGATTTCGGGGCTCGTTAGAGTTTCTATCAAGGGGATCGTCGTCCTCGTCTGGCTGAAGTGAGGGTAGCCAAACCGAGATTCGCTCGAAAATCCGATTTGATGGCTTTGTTCGAGTTTTCTGCCCTTCGTTGCGCCAGTCGGCCTTGTCTGTGGTAAGTGCGGATCCCGGTGTAATAGCGGAGACAATTGACACTCGGCTTGAGAGAAGCTGTTCGCGCTCGCGTTGGATTCTACCCAGAATCTCGATCTGGCGTGTGAAGGCCAGCAAGAGGGCAAACGATGCTGATAAGAAAATGATGAGGGCAGTAAAAGAAACGAGGAACCAAATTCCTGAGAAAATCCGAAGGTTGTTGAGCGTTTGATTTTCAGAGTCTTGCAAGTCAAGAAGCTCGCGCCCAGTTTTCACAGCCAATAGAAGGCTTGTACCCATATCTTGCGGGATAGCAGACAGATGTCCGATCAAGTCGTTGACGATCAGTTCAAAGGCTTCAAGGGCGACGTGGATGATCTGAACC